AAAAATATCATCTATTTTATTTTTAAAATTTTTTGCAACTAATATTACTCAATCAATTACAAATTCCAAAACTTGAAACAAATTTAAATTATAACATAATCAATTATTATTTATTGTTGTTCTAAGAATACTTTAAATCTGGTTAACGTAATTAATATTTTTACAAAAATATAATATAAATACTAAGATAATGTTTTCATATTAGCCACGTGAAAGGAAATTGTTTTTTAATCGAACGATTTTGTAATTTGATTGAAAAATTGATTAGGAGTTCGAGATTTATCATTTCACAGAAACGTATTTAGATGAACACAGATCTTTATTAAATATTTTATTTTCAGTTATTCATCTTATGTCAAGGTCACAGTTCCCAAAGAAGAAGTTTATGTTTTCATAAAAAAAATCCGATTCGCTAATTTTATGTTTTCTCGACGTTTCAAGTCATTCTGAATCGAATGAGACCAAATTTGAAAAAAAGTATGTGTGTGTGTTTGTAATAAATCGGTGTTTTTAACTTCCCGTCGGGTAAGTTATAATAATAAAAAAAAAAACGAAAATGAAATTTTTTATATATCTTTACGTTTCAAAGGTTTTTAAATATTTGGCATTCCTTAGAAAAAATTTTCGTCAACGATTTTGGGAACACGGTTCAACCGATTTGAATGAGTTAAAAAACATTCGATTCCTATTGATAAAGAGACATCCTGATTAGTTTTTGGTAAAGGCAGGTCCAGCCGTTTTGGAGATACGAAGCAAATGTGCCAAAAATGATAAGTCAATTTTTGAGAGAATGGAGCGTCTAAATCCGGATCCGAATCTGAATGATTCAAAAAACATTTTATTTGTATTAACAAAATGAAGAACTGATAAAATTTTTAGAAAGGCAATTCTAGCGGTTTCGGAGATCTTATAAAAATGTAAAAAAATCATTAGACATATTCAAATCAAATTATCAGATATTTATTCTGCTTCTGTACTAACGTTTATCTGTTAGACTGCGACGCCACAAAAAGTTCAAAATTTTCAAAATATTTAAAAGAATAAAAAAAAATAATTTCTCAAAGGTAATTTTTTTCAAAAATTATAAAATTCCCAAAAATCTATTTTTTCAGACTTTTAAATAAAATTTTAATTTTTTTTTTAAATTTTAATTTTTGGTACGGGAAATTCCTGCAATTATGTAATTTATTTTGCCACACAAACAATTTGCGTGGAAACGTAACCAAAAAAAATTCTTACTAAAAGTTCTTTATTTTTTTCGACGAATCGATTGCTAACAATTTCAAGAATACGTTTCTGTCGAACTAATAGTTCCCAATTATATATAAAAATATAAGATAGTGATATCTATAAAAGGAAATCAACACATCTTAAACGCAATTGTTTATTTGCGCCATCAAAATAGCAGTAATAGGATTGGTCAGTACATTGCTAGTTGCCCTAAGTTCTGGTGAGTGTTAATTATAAACATATTTTTAACTTCCCGTAGGGTAAGTTATTGTAATCGTCCAAAAATCGAAATTAAAAAATTTTACATTTCTTCACGTTTTGAAGGTTTCTGAACATTTTGGCATACCCCAGAAAAAATAGATGTGTGAGTGTGTATGTATGTATGGATACAATTTTTCGGTCACGTTTTCGGGCGTACGGATCAATCGATTTGAATGGTTCAAAAAACATTCGATTCCTATTGATAGGGAGATGTGCTGATTAGTTTTTGGAAAGGCAGGTTCAGCAGTTACGGAAATAAATAGCAAAGAGTGCAGAAAATATGAATCGAGTTTTTGAGAGAACGGAGCATCCGATTTGAATGATCTAAACAACATTCAATTAGTAATGATTGGGAGAAGTGGTTATTAGTTTTTGGCAAAGGCAAGCCCTGCCATTTCAAAGGTACGAAGCTAAATGTGCAAAAATGGCAGTTTTTGAGAGAACTAAGCGTCCGATTTAAATGATTCAAAAAACTTTCTGCTTGTTTTAACTAAATAATTGATTTTGGAGAAAGAAAATTTGTTTCAAAATTTGTTTTTCAATTTAAAAAAAAAAAAAATTTATATCGAAAATAATTTAGATTTTATTTTTAATTCTGACTAAGGTTCTAATATATTTTAAACAAATAATTTTAACTTTGTAATTCAGTTTATATAATTCTTATCAATATTAGACAATGTTACAATATTTATAATAATCTATTTGAAAACATTTAGTATTCCTCGAACATTTCGTTACGGTACGGGAAGTTCCAGCAATTTGTCTTGAGGCACGATGCCATACACCCCACTAGTTGAAATTTTTGTTGTGCTTAGCATTAAATAACTTGATGGTATTTTTTCCAGCATTGCCACAATCCAGGATAATCGGTGGCCAAAATGCCGAAGCCAAATCGGCTCCTTACATGGCATCTCTTCAACTAGAAGCCGACAATGATGGACAACTTGAATTACGACATTTTTGTGGAGGTGTCATATTGAATGACAAGTGGATTCTAACAGCAGCACATTGCTTTAAGTAAACCAAAATTATTTACTAATAATCAGAATTAATTACCTTAATTTTTTTCAACAAACTTGGCTTCTACTTTCAGGAATAAGGAAGAGCTAAAAATTTACGTCGCCGTTGGATTAACCAAATTAACTGAAGGAGGTGATGTCTACGAAGCTGAAAAATATATAGTCCATGAAGAATATGACCACTATAAAATCATAAATGATATAGCTTTATTGAAAATAAAAAATCGAATTCAATTTTCTGATAAAGTCAAACCTGGTGTTTTGGGCAGTGATTTTATTGATGGCGGAGTTGAGTTGACTCTAAATGGATGGGGTGTTATAAGTAACACTGGAATTAATAACACAATTCCTTCAAACAAGTTACAGGCAAGAATATATATTGTAATTTATGGTATTTATAAATTTGATAGAGAATCTTATTGTATTATTAATTATCAGCTTCCAGCGTCAAATTGTACTATTAATGTTGTCTTCATAGTTTTGAATCAAATTGAGGTTTTTCAAGACTTGAATTCTTAATAACAATGTTATAGACCTTGATTTCCAAAATAGAAATAATGATGCTGATTTTTCGTATCAAATTGTTATGAATCTCAAGAACAAATTGTACTACTAGATTTTATTTCTAAAATTAAACAGCAACATTAAAAATTGTAATTTTCAAATAAAATCTACATTTTTTTAAGATTAGGTATATTTTAATCATCCAAAAATAGAAATTAAATTTTTTTGCATATCTTCACGTTTTGAAGATTTCTGAACAATTTGGCATACTTCAGAAAAAATGAATGTGTGTGTGTTTGTATGTGAGTGTGTTTATGTATCTATGAATACAATTTTTCATCCACGTTTTCTGGCGCACGGATCAACCGATTGGAATGATTCAAAAAACGTTCTATTCCTATTTATAGGTGTGCTGATTAGTTTTTGGCAAAAATAGGACCAGCCGTTTTGAAGTTATCGAGCAAAGAGTGCAGAAATCGAGTTTTTGATAGTATAGAGCATTCGATTCTAATGATCCAAAAAAACATTCTATTCGTAATGATAGGGTAATAATTTTTGGCAAAGGCAGGTCCTGTCGTTTCAGAGATATGAAGCAAAATGTGCAGAAAATGGCAGTTTTTGAAAGAAATAAGCATCCGATTTGAATGATTCAAAAAACTATCTAGGGTTGACAAAACGATTTTTTTTGGGAAAAGAAAATAATAATTTTTATTTCTAAATTAGTTTTTTTAATTTTTCAAAAAAAATTTTTTTATATCGCAAATAATTCAGATTTCTAAAATTTTAATTCGGTACGATAAGTTCCAGTAATTTGCCTCAAGGCACGAGAATTTGAAAAAAAAATTGATTTTTTTTCCAAAAGCAAATATTTTATCAAATCAAGCAAAAAGTTTATTGAATCATTCAAATCGGATGCTAAGTCCTCTCAAAAACAGGTGGACCAGCCTCTTCCAAAAACTAATCACCACTTCTCCCCGTCATTACAAATTGAATGTTTTTTGAGCCATTCAAATCAGATGCTCCGTTCTCTCAAAATCTCCAGTTCTATTTTCTGCACTCTTTGCTCCGTATCTCCGAAACGGCTCGACCTGCCTTTGCCAAAAACTAATCAACACATTTCCCTATCAATAGGAATCGAATATTTTTTAATCCATTCAATTTGGTTGAAACGTGCGAAAAATTGTATCCATACATACACACACATCCATTTTTTCTGAGGTATGCCAAAATGTTCAGAAACCTTCAAAACGTGAATGTGAAAAAATTCAATTTCGATTTTTGGACTACAATAGCTTACCCTACGGGAAGTTAATAAAAATCTATTTTTTTTTTTCAAATAAAAATATAATTTTGCTTTTAGGTAATGCGTCCAACGACATTTACAACAGAGGAGTGCCAAGAGGCCCTTTACAAATTAATTTATGACACTCAATTATGCGCAATGGCCAAAAAAGGAACTGGAGCTTGTGTGGTAATTAATATAATATAAGTTAATAATATTATTAATAATTGAATAAGATACTCACAAATCGGATTTTTATTAAAATTGAACGTGATCTATTATTATTATTGAGGATTTATATTTCTATTACAGGGTGATTCAGGAGGACCCTTAACAATAGGAAAAAACACCGTAGTAGGACTTGTGTCTTGGGGAAAACACCCTTGTGGAAATGGAAATTTTCCAGATGTTTATACAAGAGTTTCTGCCTTTTTGGATTGGATAGAAAAAAATATGTCCGAAAATTAATTATTCAATAATATTATATAAATAAATATTGTATTGTATTCTTACAATAGTTAATATATATATTATATATATATATATTTAGAAGTATCAATCGAACTAATCAAATCAAGGTCAATTTTTCTCAAATAATCAGATCAAAACATCACTCAATATCTAATAAAAATATCTTGTTGCGATATTTATAGATACCAAATGAAAACAGATTTCGACTAAGGAAAAACTAAAACTTGACTCTTTCCACTCTTGGTGTATCTATAACAAATTACATTTAAATATATCAAAGTGCAAGATTCTCAGTTTTTGACATAAGCGCGTTCCAATACTTTTTGATTATAAAATTTCTAACACCAGCATTGATAGATGTAATAAAATTTCAGATTTAGGAGTTCTGTTTAATTCTGGTTTGTTTTTCACGGATCATATAACTGATATTTGTAATAGAGCACACAAATCTTTAGGTTTGATACTGAGAAATTGTAATCAATTTAAATCTACCAATGCGCTTCTTTGCATGTACTATTCTATTGTACGTTCAAAATTAGAATATGGTTCGATTATTTGGTATCCTCATCAAACCAACAACTCTGATGCGATAAAGAAGGTTCAGCGAAAATTTCTGAAATACCTTTATTATAAAACATATAAAATTTACCCTGAACGTGGCTTTGACCACAACACTTTATTAAAAGATTTTGGTATACCTTCTCTTGCCACACGTCGATTTATCTGTACTATTATATTCTTATTTAAACTTTGCAATAATGCTATTGACTGTCCTCTTATTCTTTACTAACTATCCGTTAATGTTCCTAGACTAACTACGCGTTCACAATTATTTTTCAATTATCCTACCCCTAAATCTAATTCTCTCTTAAATTTGCCTATTCTACTTATGTCCTCTAACTTTAACTTAATTAATAATGAAATAGGTATTCACAACACTTCACCTAATCAAATAATCTCCATCTGCACAAATTAACCTTTTTATTTTCTTTTCAAATATCTCATTATTTTATCTTATTCTGTTTATAAATAATATTGTTACATTCTGCATTATATGTAATTTTATGTAAGCATTTTATGTTATTAATTATATATTGTAATTTTGTATATATTTTAATTGTTATTCATTATGTAAAATGACTGTATTTTTGAGTCTTCTTGGAGTAATCTGTGAGCTATATATTTAAATAAATAAATAAATAAAACTAATCAAACGCAATAGATATGCGTTTTCACAATCCAAAACAAAAAAAACAGAATACGGGGCAAAAGTTTATGATAGTTACTAAAATATCTCAGAAACGGCTGGACCGAATTACTTGAAATTTACAGGGCAAACTTTTATTTCAAATGTCTATCAAAAATCCATTTTTTTTATATTCATTTGATTATAGGTCATTTCGTGCTTTTAAGCCTACAAATTAAAACGACGTTTATTTTTTTTTTCAGATAAGCCGATCAGCCGGAATCGTGGAGGAAGTGGGAGCTCTTTTTTTCGAGGCGGGGATGTTCAGAGCGCTGTAACTCATATTTTTAGCTGAAATTTTATATTTATACTGTCCAAATATGTGTTAATAAATGATAAAAAACTTGAAGCTCTATCTCTATCCCTAAAAATCAGGCCGTCACATAGGAAGACGCCCTTAAAAAAGTTGTTCCATTTAATCAAGTACTACATAGAATTATTATTGGGGTCCTTTCGGACCCTCCAAAAATTGCCATAGCCCACGGTATTTCACGTGGTCTCGGCGGGGTATTGGTAAAAGTTTTCAACTAGCAATAATCGCACCTCGGATGAACCTCATTGGTTACGATATCGCCACTGCGCAAAGCTAACGAGTAGAGCAAACCGTGTTTCTTATATACTCGCACGGCAGTACAATGCGACGTGCGTTTTGATCTCTTTGATTCTGGAACGAATATGCGAATACCTGCCTGTTGTACCTGTTGAAACATGAGAATACCTGAATTACCCTACAGAAAGTTAACTGGTGGTGCATAGCATCGTGTCTTAAGGCAAATTACTGAAACTTTCCGTACCGTAACGAAATGTTCGAGGAATACTGAATGTTTTCAAATAGATTATTATAAATATTGTAACATTGTCTAATATTCATAAGAATTATATAAACTGAATTGCAAAGTTGAAATTATTTGTAAAGTATATTAGAACTATAGTCAGAATTAAAATTTAAATCTGAATTATTTTCGATATACAAAAAATTAAAAAAAAAAAAAGTTGGAACAAAATTTTTTTCCAAAATCAATTATTTTGTTAAGACAAGCAGAAAGTTCTTTGAATCATTTAAATCTTTGCCAAAAACTAATAAACACTTCTCCCAATCATTACTAATTGAATGTTTGTTAGATCATTCAAATCGGATGCTCCGTACTCGAGCATCGAGATAAAAACTCGATTTTTATTTTCTGCCCTCTTTGCTGCGTATTTCCAGAACGGCTAGACCGACCTTTCCCAAAAACTAATCAGAACATCTCCCTATCATTAGGAATTAAATGCTTTTTGAACCATTCAAATCGGTTGATCCGTGCGCCCGAAAAAGTGGACGAAAAATTGTATCCATACATACATACACACACACATCCATTTTTTCTAAGGTATGCCAATACTCAGAAACCTTCAAAACGTCGAGAAATGTAAAAATTTTCAATTTCGATTTTAGGCCCATTGCAATAACTTACCCTACGGGAAGTTAAAAACGAGATTTTCGAGAATTTAGAAAAATTTTGACTTTTTTGAAAAATTGTTTTTTTCATATCTCCAATTTTTTTTATAATTTGAATTTTTCTGAAAATTTTGAACTTTTTTTCAAAGCAATCGTGCTAAAACGTTCAGACAATCTGAAACGTAAAATTATATAAACATTTTCATTTTCGATTTTTCGGCGATTACTACGCAAAGTTAATATTAATGCTATTACTTAATATTAAATAATAATTATAAAATAATATCATTATCAAATAAATTAATATTCATGTATAATGAATCGATAAAATTGGGTGTAAATGAATTTTGGCTTAATGACATATATAATAAATTTAATATTTATAATTGAAATATTTATTTCGAAAATAAAGTTCTTGCTTTCAATAAAAACTAATCAATGCAATTTCTTAACTTTTAATTACAAAGAAACGGTCGGGTCGATCTTTGCCTATTTCAGAGTGAATTGAAATGCCTATAAATCGCAAAATTAGCAGGTCGAATTTTCTGACAAAAATATACTCTTCTTCTTCGAAAAGTTAATATCATATAATGAATTTTTATTATGACAAATATCTATTAATAACATATTACTAGATATTATATATCATAAGAGTAAATCTGTTAATTAGATATCCTCCTATATCTTGTTCAAATAAAAAATATCTAAAACAAAATCTGACATGATTAAAAAAAAATCTACACAAATTAAAATCGATAAGATTTCAATCTTGATGTATCAGTAAGTATATAAATCGTAAATTACAACTATTGAATTCAGTTTCAATTTTAATTTAAAAAAAATATCAATATGAAGTTAACAATTGCTTTTATTTGTGCTTTCGCAGGTAAATAAAAAAAAACAATAATAAAATCAGAATATTAAATATCAACTGGTAGTGGATTTTTTCTTAAATAAACTTACTGCAACATATACCAATAAATAATTAGTATTTATATAAGAGTAATTTACACATTTTAAGAAAAAACTAAATCGGTTAATCCGTTCGTCGACGAAAATTTGTATCCGCACATACATACGCAAATACTCTCTCTCACACACACACACATACATACACATTTGTCTATTTTTTCCAAGGTATGGGCAAAACGTTCAAGAGGTCTTAAAACACAAATATGCAACAAAAATATTTTTAGGAAGATAAGTGTTAGAAAATTCTTGCATTATGGGACTTGTTAAATATCGTTTTTTTTCATTACAGTGGGATTTGTTTCGTCATCCCCATTCGAACGGATAATTGAAGGAGAAAATGCCTCAGAACTTTCAGCACCATATATGGTGTCTTTTCAAAGTCCTCACGAGATAAATGGAACTCTAGTTAATGCTCACTTCTGCGGAGGAGCAATTCTGAACGAACAGTGGATTCTGACAGCTGCTCATTGTTTCATGTAATTATAAACAATTTTATAAATCATATTTAATTTTATTACCTTTGGCTCGTATTTACAGCTACAAAGACATGCCGGAAATCATTGCCGCTGTCGGTTTTACCGACTTGGAAGAAAATGTAAAAGGCTACCATCTGGATAAAGTCATTATGCACGAAGAATATGATCATCACTATATAGTTCATGACATAGCCTTGGTCAAAATCAAGGAACACTTCACATTTTCAGAAAAAGTGCAACCTGCTGTTTTAGGTACATATTTTGTTAAAGGAGGCGCTAAACTTCGTCTGACTGGATGGGGAATTACAGTCAATTCAGGACCTGGTAGCAATTTACCGTCGAGATTGTTACAGGTATTGTGAAATTTTTGAAAACTAATTAAATAAATTTTAGGGGGAGACTTTTTCCCTCCCCCTTGGTGATTCGTGGTGATATTCAAAATTACCCCCCTCCCCAACCAAACAACACATGTATTTTTAGTTACGAGAAAAAAATGTAAAATTTTTAAATTGCTTTGGTAAAAAATAAATACACGTGATATCATACAATACCCCTCCTTCCCCCACGTGATATTTTGTGATTTTTTCTCAAACCTCCCCTCCGCCTAATAACCTCGCGTAATTAATGGACGCCCTCTAAGTTTAACAAACTGAAACGCACGCATATGTTGCGTGAGACCGTTGTCAATAAAGATGCGGTGAACGCAAAAGGCGCGTTCGATTTTCTTGCACTTTAGAGTAGTGTTTGTAGAAAAATAAAATGTTTGCATTGAATTTTTTGTACTAAAATTTTCCAAACAAGAATGTTACTTGTTATCCTATTTTGGTGCTTTTTTTAATTTAATTGAACATGGCAACACATGGCTGGCAGTGAGAGTGCTAAGACAGATAGTTGAACATTTTGATTTTGTAATATATATTAAAGAAGTAAAATCATTGAACCAATTTAAATTAGTTATTATAATACAAGATTAGTGCAGAGGTTTGAAAAAGACCAAATAGAGTTATTGCATGTTGAAATTTGTTTTTGAGTTACTTTTAATTTTGTTAAATGTGAACAAAATAAGTAAAGAACTCTGAACAAGGTAAAAAAATGATGCATTTTTTATTTTTCAACAACACTCGAAAGTTTCATATGAAATTTTAATGCAAATTTGACTTATTCAACTTAAATTGATATTTAGATATTTGGATAAAATTTTCAACTGCACTATTACATATATCATGTATTTAGCCCAGATATTAATCAATTATTTAAATTAGAAGTCATTTTTTACACTACTTATTGTGTAATTGTATACTAATTTTACCGCTTATTTCAGAAAATAGCTTTTAAATTTGTGTTATTCAAATTTTGACTCATCACATCCAAAAAGCGACTTTTGTAACAAATTTTGACATATTTTTTTTTTCAAACTTTGAGGCATTTTTAAAATTAAACGACTTGCCGTAGGTAAATAAAATTTTAGTAAGTTTTTTAGGACCATGATGTCTATCAATATAAAACATGTCATCGAAAAAAATATTTCAACTAACAAACGGCTAGGCCGATCTTTGTCCAAGACTAATTAGCATGATTCATAAATGATCTTTCGAATATTTTTTGATTTTTTAAAATCGAGTCAGAATTTTTAGCTAAAACGTGGACAAAAATTTTTCACTTTTCTCTTAATTAATAAGAAACGGTTTGGCTAATCGTCATCGAATGGCTTTAGATTTTTGAAATCGATTCAGGCGTTTTTGAAAAAACGTCGATTTAAGGTAAAAGTTCTCTGTTCAGACACACACATTTTTTTCTAAATTTGGTCTCATTCGATTTAGAAAAACTTGAAACGTCGAGGAAACATAAAATTAGCGAATCAGATTTTTTGATGGAAACGAACTTTTCATACGGAAAGTTAATAAAATATTGGACATAATCCAAAATTGAAAAATAAAATCATATTATAATTTCGAGAGTTTGTTGAATGATATTATCAATCTTAAAAAAAACTTGTTAGTGAATTTTCAAAATGAAATTTAAAAATATTTCAAAAACGACTAATTTTCATTTTTGGTGTTTTTACGTTCCAAGGCTACTCATCATATTTACCCTAGAATAGATAACATAGATTGGATATAGATATCCATAGTAATTTCCGAAATTCGTCATTCGAAATAAAAATATTGGTCTTTTGCGTTTACTATTCAAATTAAGTGTTATTGAATCATTTCAGGAAATGGAAACAACATCTTGCACACATGAAGAATGTCAGGATGCCCATTACAAAACTATACATGAAACACAACTCTGCACAATGGCCAAAAAAGGAACAGGATCCTGCAAAGTAATATAAAATACTATTTCATAGAATAATACAATTTACTATCTTATCTTATCTTGCCACAATATAAGACAGGTAGAAGAGGAAAAATAACAATTTAGTATCTAATTTTTTGTAATTTTATATATTTGGGCCGTTTTGGTTAGGCTAACAATGTTAAATTACTAGAACATACTAAATTTACAAGAACATACAAACTAATTTTCTTAATGTAATGCGCCTACTTGATTTTTTCTTAAGATACTTTACAGAAATAATTTCAGTAAGTACTTTGATAAGAGAAAATACTTCTCCGATAATAAACCTTTAAGTTTAAGAAGTTGCGACAATAAATTGTTTTATCTCTCCACGTGCCAAGATTGATACACAATACTAAAAATCGTATGTGTATTATGTATATGTTTTAAATTTATTTATTTATTTATTCATAAGCAAGCCGTAATCAATAATAATAGGTATTATTTCAGGCTCTTGTCAAGTATAAAATTTATAAAATACTTATGAGATTTACATTGAACAGTTATAAATAAGCAACTTTTGTTGAGAGACTCAAGTTATCTGTATTTTCATGGCAATCCAGAATGTTTACCTATTTAATTTTTTTTTCAGGGTGATTCCGGAGGTCCTTTAGTACTAGGAAAAATACCTTAGTTGGAATTGTTTCCTGGGGTGAACAACCTTGTGGTGACGGATATTTCCCAGATGTATTTACTAGAGTTACTTCTTATTTAGATTGGATCGAAAAGCATATGTCGGAAAATTAAATTAAAAACATGAAAGCATTATTCATAAATACTAAGCAATGTTATAATTGTAATATCGAATATTAAATAATTAAATAAATATATATTGGCAAACAGTTTTTGTTAATTAAAACTTGCTCTTACAGACAACTAATATTTTTCCCGAAGTTTGTTCACGTAAAAATATCCGATTATATCTAACTTTGTTTTCTCGAACTTTTAAGTCATTCTGAATCGAATGAGACCAAATTTCGAAAAAGTTTGTAATTAATATTCGAAACTAATGTTGTATGGCATCGTGCCTTAAGGCAAATTGCTAGAACTTCCCGTACCATATTGAAATATATGAATAATAAAATTTAGTAACAATTGGCATACCTCAGAAAAAATTGACGTATATGTGTATGTGTGAATAAAATTTTTCGTCCACATTTTCGGGCGCACGGATCAACCGATTCGAATGATTCAAAAAACATTCGATTCCTATTGATAGGGAGATGTGCTGATTAGTTTTTGGCAAAGGCAGGTCCAGCCGTTTCGGAGATACGGAGCAAAGAGTGCAAGAAATAGAAATCGAGTTTTTGAGAGAACGGAGCATCCGAATTGGATGATTCAAAAAACATTAAATTTGTAATGATGTGGGAAAGTGATGATTAGATTTTGGCAGATATAGGTCCAGCGGTTTCGGAGACACGGAGTTTAATGTGCAAAAATTGGCAGTTTTTGAGAGAACTAAGCATCCGATTTGAATGATTCAAACAATTTTTTGCTTGTCTTGATGAAACGATTGCTTAAAACATTTACAAAAAATTTAAAAAAAAAATCCAAAAAAATTAAGTTTGCCTCATAATTCATAGAAAATTCATAATTATATCATAGATTATCTCAATTGGAAATTGCAAACGGAAATTAATTTTTAGGCACTTGAGGTCGCTTTTACGTCACATAAAGTTGTTTTTCAGTAGTTTAAGTGGAAAAGTTTGAATTGAACTGGATTTTATTTGATAAGGTTATGAAAAAATAGTTAAGACTGATATAAAATCAATTGAAAATTGGAAATTGCTTCATTTTAGTTTCTATTCTTAAATCAAATTAGTTTTTAGTGCTGTGATAAATAAAAGTTTAAAATGAAACTCATCATCGTGCTAGTATTTGTTTTAGGAATTTGTTCAGGTGAATTATTTACTTATAAAAGATATAAATGTATAAAATTTAACTAAATTGAAGTAAATTTATTTTTTTTGGATAATTTTCTGCTAACAGAATAAGATAATAAATTCTTGAATTTAGTTAAATTTCATACCTGTTTTACTAGTAACTCTTCCATTCTTATTACTTTATTGAACAAGTTTTTTGTTATTACATTTTTTTTATAGAAATTATGCTTTATTATATTTATATTTGTAAGAATTTGTTTTTAATTTATTTTATTGCTATTAAAAATTTATCAGTTCATGCGATAAGGTTATATAACAGATTATAACGTTTTATTTTTTAAATAAAATAAATTATTTCATATAAACATTTTATCTAAATTACAAACTTATGAAGAGATTGTAATATAAATGATATATAATTAAATTAAATATTTTTTCAAATTTATTTTTATTCATATAATTTGTATTGTATTTATTTGTAATATATTTTTATATGTATTACTACTATTAGAGACATTACTACGTAATTTATTTTTTTTCGTCAACTAAACCTGATTAACACATTTACTGCTATTCTAGTGTTTCCTTACTATGAGGGTATATATTTGTATCCTCATATGCTATTTTTTATTTTATTTTTATAAGGATAATACTGAATAAAACCATTTATAGGAACGTTAACTAGAAATTTAAAAAAAAGTTGTATAAAAGAAGGACAAATAAAATTATTTCCGTTTGAAATAATTACGGTACAAAATTTAAATTTAATAATTTTATTTTACGAAAACCATTATTCTAAATAAATATTATTATTATAATTGCGTTCGACACCTTTCGTTTGACAACGGACTCACGCAACATATGCGTGCGCAGTAGTGAATAAGAAAAATAAAAATTGATAAAAATTATCAATCAAATTATTATTATCATTAAATATTATCAATTTTATATTACAACAGGATCACCACATTCAAGAATAATCTGTGGTCAAAATGCCAAAAAAAATTCGGCGCCATACATGGCATCGGTTCAACTTTTAGATAAAATTGATGGAGTCGAAAAATTGTTTCATTTTTGCGGAGGAGCAATAGTTAATGATAGATGGATTTTGACTGCTGCACATTGTTTGAGGTAATAAAAAGTTAACTAGTAGTGCCTTAAGGCAAATTGCTAGAACTTCCCGTACCAATAATTGATGATCATATTTTATAGGTATTTTAATAATAAGAATAAATTTTGTTTACATTTCTATGAGTTTCGTACTTCGTAATGTTCATCCTTCATCAAAAGGGCCAATTTTTTCAAAAATTTAAAAAATCGCAAAACTCGATTTTTTCAGAGTTCTAACAGAAAATTGATTTTTTTTTAAATTACCAAAATTAATTTTTGGTACGAGCAGTTTATTAGTTTTGTAAGGTATACGAAAATGCTCAGAAACCCCTGAAACTTTGCAGATGTATCCATGATGTATAAAAATTTGCATTTTTTGCGATTACTGTAGCTCAAAGGGAAGTTAAAAATCGGCTTATATACAAATACATGCACACGCACATACGTTTTCTAAGATAGGTCTCATTCAATTCAGAATGACTTGGAACGTCGAGAAACATAATATTAGCAAATCGGCTATAAAATCAAAAATCAGCAATTTTTTGTGATTATTTATGGTAAGGCGTAGATTACACCTTACTGCTGCCTTTGGCGTTATTACTTTTTAGAAAATTAATTACTGCACTTTTTAGTGCACACTGTAATCATTAGAAGAATGAAAAAACGGCAATAGACATAAAACTATAAATATTTATTTTAAATGGTTGAGTAAAATGTACGAGTTAAATTTCTTAAGATGTAGACTCTCGCAACTAGCAGTGAATATTAAATTTATAAACTTAAAAATATTATATAAAAATTATTAAAACTGCCTGGAAGGGGGAGTTCACAAATATACACTTATACAACTAATTAGAAAAAATATAATTAGAATAATTTACAATAATCCGTTTGTATTTTTGTTACGTAGTTATAGGATTTATTAAAACTCTCCTTCGATAATTCAGGTTGTTGGGTTATAATTTAACCCTTGTAGCTGTGGACTGTATTAAACACTGATTTGTTTGTATATTATGCATTTGTTGCAGTTCTAATTACAATCACTGATTTGTTACTAAGTTATAATGAAAGAAGATATATTTATTTTTATTGGTTATTTACATGTTGTTAAGCGGACTTTACTTTTAGAAGTGAACAACTAGTTCAATTAAAACACTCCGCTACCCTCTCTACCAGGGGTAGCAACCATTCCGTGTAAAGCCTAATGCCATGAAGGTTGTCATCTTCATGGCCAATATAATAAAACGAAAAGACGTCCGAATACCGTTTAATACGGATGGTAGCAATAAACCTTGCCCATTTCTTTGAAAAGGTGAATGGATTTATAACCAAGATAAAATTTGATGCAATAATCAGTATACTTTTGTATTGAAAGGAGTTTATAATAATAATAGAATTGAAAGATTTGATTTACTTAGGCTATTTTAGAAAGAATACTTAATATATGCACTAATATTCGGTGCCTACATAAATGTAATTATATAAGTATTAAAAACGAATTCTTAACAAAAATGATAATGATTATATTTCAAATGAATCCCTAACAACTTACTTGAATTAATTTATACAATTTTATTCAATTTAGAGGCAAAGACCACCTCCTGGACAAACTGTTCATTGCAGTCGGCCTGACAAATTTAGGTGAAGGAGGCACCGTGTATCCTGTAGAAAAAGGCATCATGCACGAAGAATATGAACATTATGACATAGTCAACGATATTGCACTAATCAAAGTCAAATCTCCGATAGAATTCAATGAAAAAGTAACGACTGTAAAATTAGGTGAGGATTATGTTGGCGGAGACGTCCAACTTCGATTGACAGGATGGGGAGTTACGACAAATGAGGGAATCGGAAGCCCGAGTCAAAAATTACAGGTAGGGGAAAATTTAATTTCATTAGTTGTAAGTGGCATTTTGACTTAGGTCAAGGCGAATAATAATAATCAAATTAATCAATAAGAATTGATATTCAGATATTCAAGTAAAATGTTGCACTGTTATTTCTAAAATTCAATTTTTCAAAAATCAATCAGAAGGATTTACAACTAATATCATTTTAATATACTTATAATATCTGTAATTACATAAATTAAATTAATTTGTTCAACACATTATAACTAGTGTAATTGCTAGTTACCTACAAAACACAGAACGTACATATGATTCGGCATAGATTCTAACTAGAATTGTTTAAGCAAAGCGGCCAAATCGGTTTAAAATTAAATCTAGCGGCGCATGGTATTGTGTCTTAAAGCAAATTGCTTGAACTTTCACTACCGTAATAAAACTTTCAAAGAATAAAAATATCGTCGACAAACACATCTATGAATAAATATTATAAAAACTAGAATTTTCATTATTTATTCCTTGTAGACAAAATGTGAAAGCTTATTAGATTAGACGACGTTGTTTATCTATATTTGAATGAAATATATATAAACAAAATCTAATTAAGTAGATTTATTGTTAGAATGAACATATTTTATTTCAAATGCATCAATTTTTCGTTCGCAAAATATATGCTCTGAGCTAACAATTTGAAATAGTTCATGTAGTATCAACTACACAATCATAAAAAGTATCAAAAAAAAAATAAAAAAAAAAATTACAAACATGGGGGATTCGAATCTCGTAATCTTATCTTCTACTAAGGCGAACGAAAACTGCACTGACGCGCCAACCAACACAGCTATAACGACATGCTCAAGTGCAACACTTTGAGCGGATGTCTATCGGATCTAATCGGAATTTCTGCACTTTTTGCTCTGTATCCTTGAAACGGCTAGACCTGCCTTTGCCAAAAAATTAATCAGCACGTCTCCTTATCAATACGAATAGAATGTTTTTTTAATTATTCAAATCGGTTGATCGGTGTTCCCGAAATCATCGACAAAAATTTGTATCCGCACACACACATACATCTATTTTTTCGAGGAATGTCAACATGTTCAGAAACCTTTGAAACGTAAAGATATGCAAAAAATTTTATTTTCGATTTTTTTCGACTATAACTTACCATACGGGTTAGAAATATAGATATCAATAAATTACCATTCTGTTTCCAATATGGTCAAATAAAACAGAAAAAAACATTAAATGCGCTATACAATGTACACCAATATCACTAATTTTTACCTAATTATGTTTTAAGAAAACTAATAAAAGTAGTCATTCGTCAAGTAGTTTTGAATAAAATAGTTGTCCATCCATAATCATAAATATTTGATTATATTTCTAGTGAATTGAATACTGAAATTCTATATTATTCTACGTTTTCAATTTTTATTCAGGTCATGACAGCCAAATCACTAACTTATGAGGATTGCAAAAACGCAATTTATAAAAAGACTTTCGAAAGCCAAATTTGTGCACAGGCTAAAAAAGGAACCGGATCTTGTAAGGTGAGTTTAAAAAAAATTCTTCTCTCTTTAATTAATTTATTATGTTTGAAACTATTGCATTTTTGCATGCAATTTTTAAATAATAAGGTTCTTCTGGAAACGTATTCTGAAATTTTGAATGAGAAAATTTACATAATTCTACCTATGAATCAAAATGAACTCCCCCTACAAAATATTAAATTTTTTAAGAATGATCCAATTTTTTTTAAAATTAAAAAAAAATAGATTTTTGAGATTTTTAAAATTTTTGAAAAATATTGATCTTTTTGAAAAAATTGATTTTTTTATACTTTGAAATATTTTGGAAGTTGGAACTTTTTTTCTAAGCAATCGCGATACCAGAATAACGCATAAACATTGGTACGGAACCCACAGAAATATAATCAAAATTTGTTCTCATTAATAAAATATCTATATATATATGTGACAATTTGATGTGCGTATGTCTAATGAATCACTTTTTTCTATTGGGTCTCCGAAACTGCTAAACGTACCTTCCAAAAAATTTCATCAGTACTTCATTTCGTCAATACAACTAAAATGATTTTTGAATCTTGCAAATTGGTTGATTCGTGTTTTCAAAATCATCATCAAACTAGCTGTAAGTGGAATTCTGTCTTAAGGCAATTAAGGCATCGTGCCTTAAGGCAAATTGCTGGAACTTCCCGTACCAAAAATTATTATTTTTTTTAAAAACGATTAACATTTTTGAAAAAAAAAAATACTTTGAAAAAATAAGATTTTTGAGAAACTATAAATTGGCCAAAAAATTACTTTTTTTGGAAAAAAAATTTTTTTTTTAATTTTTTTTTTGTTTTTTTTTTGAAAAAAAATTTTTTTTTTTATTTTGACATATTGTGGAAGATCTGAACTTTTTTCAAAGCAATCGTACTGTTTTAAATGCATAGGGACAAAATATAAAGCGCGTAAGTGCCGCGTCGCTGTCTAACGCATAAGCATTGGTACGGAACCCATAGGAATGTTAACAAAATGTATACTTATTGTTAAAATCTCTATAAAGTATCTGATAATTTGATGTGCATATGTCTAATGATCATTTTTGACCGCCAAATGGCTCATTTTTTTACTTTTTCCTCCATATCTCCGAAACCGCTAGACCTACCTTCATGAAAATTTTATAGATTCTTCATCTTGTCAATACAAGTGAAACGTTTTTTGAATTATTCAAATCGGACGCTCCGTTCTCTTAAAAACTGAGTTACCGTTTTCGGCACTTTTTGCCCCGTATCTTCGGAACGGCTAGACCTGCCTTCGCCAAAAACTAATCAGCACGTCTCCTTATCAATACGAATCGAATGTTTTTTGAATTGTTCAAATCGGTTGATCCGTGTTCCCGAAATCGTCGACGAAAATTTGTATCCGCACATACATACACACACATACATACATACACACACACATACACACACACATACACACACACACACACACACACACACACACATACATCCATTTTTTCTAAGGTATGCCAAAATGTTCAGAAACCTTTGAAACGTAAAGATATATAAAAATTTTCATTTTCGATTTTTTTGCGATTACTATAACTTACCCTACGGGAAGTTAAAAATGTATTCGCACATACATACACACACGCGCATACACACACACATTTTTTTTCTAAATTATTCCAAAATGTTCAGAAACCTTTGAAACGTAAAGATATATAAAATTTTCATTTTCGATTTTTTTCAGGGTGATTCTGGTGGTCCTTTAGTCCAAGGAAACAATACCCTAGTCGGTTTAGTATCCTGGGGTATGCAACCTTGTGGAAGTGGTTATTACCCTGATGTCTACACAAGAATAACATCATTTTTGGATTGGATTAACACGACAATGTCAGAAAATTAAAGAGAAAAAAGTATTTAAATAGTAGTTAAAATATTTCACGAATATTGTTAAAGTATTGAAATAACGAATATTTGTATTGTATATAGGGCTGGTACCTAAACACATTATTATTTGTTAAAACTGATATTTATTTTTATAACGAATTTCTATATTTATAATATTATTTTATATGTATTTAATTGTATTTTAAATATGGACTGGTTCTTCCAATGTTATAAAAAATAAAATTATAAAAATACATCTACTATTTTATACTAATTAAACAATGTTTGTTTTATCACTAATTTTGGTTAAGAAAATTGAATAAGCTATTTTTTAACTTCCCGTAGGGTAAGTTATTGTAATGGTCCAAAAATTGAAATTGAAAATGTTTGCATATCTTTACGTTTCAGAGGTTTCTGAACATTTCGGCATACCTCAGAAATAATATATGTGTGTGTATGGATACAATTTTTCGTCCACGTTTTTGGGCGCACGGTTTAACCGATTTGAATGGTTCAAGAAAACAATCGATTTCTATTGATAGGGAGATGTGCTGATTAGTTTTTGGCAAAGGTAGGTCCAGCCGTTTCGGAGATACGGAGCAAAGAGTGCAGAAAATAGAAATCGAGTTTTTGAGAGAATGAAGTATCCGATTTGAATGGTTCAAAAAACATTCAATTCGTAATGATAGGGAGAAGTGGTGATTATTTTTTGGTAAAGGCAGGTCCAGCCGTTTCGGAGATACGGAGCAAAGAACGCAAAAAATGGAAATAGAGTTTTTGAGGAAACGGAGCATCCGATTTAAATGATTCGAAAAACAACAATTTGTAATTATTGGGATATGTGCTGATTAGTTTTTAGCAAAGGCAGGTCCAGCCATTTCGAAGAAACAGAGCTAAATGTGCAAAAAATGGCAATTTTTGAGAGAACTAGGCATCCGATGTGAATAAATCAAAAAACTTTCTGCTTATGTAGATGAAACGTATGTTTTTTAGAAAAAGTAAAATTAATTTTTATTTCAATTTTTTTTAAATTTCCAAACATTTTATAAAATAACTCAGATTTTCAAAAATTTTAATTCGGTACGTAAAATTTACAGCAAATTGCCTCAAGGCACGAAGCCATACACCACTAGTTTATTATTTTATTTTATTCAATGTTTTGGCTATTTTCATTAAACATTTAGTTTAAATTTATGTGTTTTTTTATGTTTTAAATTTGTTAACTTCTGAATGATGACACACATACGGTGTCGAAACGTACAGAATTAAATTATTTATTGCTTTTTATTTCGACTATTTGACTGGAATAAAAATTTGACTTATTGAATTTGAATATATTATATATCTATAGATGGTGTGTGTGGAAAAATAAATAACACAGAATTATTTCTTTCAATAATTTATTTCAAATATAAATTAGCAACAATTTTGTCATTCATCATCGGCGATCTTCTCCTTGATCCATTCGGCATAGTGTGAGACTCTGGTGAAGACGTCAGGTTTTCCAAGGGCGCAGGGGATTCCCCAGGAAACAACCCCGTGAAGTTCTCCATTTACGACCAATGGACCACCGGAGTCACCCTGGTAATATTAGGTTTCTTCGTGGTTATATCAATCGAATAGAGTATAATTCTTTTAAATTTTTAGGTCACTCATTTATCACTGGTAAAAATGAACTGGAAAAACTTGGTAATGCTCAGGTATGATTATGAACAATCCTTATTGCCTCTATATGATAATTAACTTCCCGTAGGGTAAGTTATAGTAATCGCAAAAAAAACGAAAATGAACATTTTTGCATATCTTTACGTTTCAGAGGTTTCTGAAAATTTTGGTATACCTTAGAAAAAATGGATGTTCAAAATTTTCAAAAAAATTTAAAGTATAAAAAAAAATCGAAACAAAAAAAAATTTCAAAAGCCTTTTTTCCTAAAAATTTCGAAATTCTCAAAAATCTCAGTTTTTGCAGAATTTTCAAGAATTTTTAAAAATTTTAATTTTCGGCGCGGTAAGTAATCGCAAAAAAATCGAAAATGAAAATTTTTGCATATCTTTACGTTTCTGAAGTTTGTGAAAGTTTTGGCATATTTTAGAAAAAAATGGATGTTTAATTTAAAAAACTAATTTTTCAGGAAAGTCAATTTTTTGAAAAATTTCAGAATTCTCAAAAATCGCATTTTC